GTAGGGCAGCCGGTCTCATCGAGATTCCACACATTTTGAGGTGTTAACTTTAATCTCGAATAAATTTCTTCCAATTTATCAAAAAATATTAAAACGTTTGGCTTGTTGAAACAGGCCATTCGACCTAAGCTTGTGGCTTCAGGCTTCCGAAGAGATATTTTGTTATTATAAGAAGTTCTAAAACATCGGTACCATTGTCTACCAGCAGTTTTATTATTATCCCATGATTCAGGGTAGTTCACATTGTTGAGTTTGGCGTACTGATATGCTAGTTTTCGCGTTTCTTCAACAGTGACACCATAGTTCCACTGTGCAGCTTTTATAATGTAAGTGAGCAGTTCGTTTTCTTGTTCAGTACTGAAGACTTTGCGTGTTGAATTATTCGCTTCATACTTGAAAGTCGCTTTCATAGACACTTTATGTTTTTGAATATGCCTACCAAGAGTACTTTTTGAAACACCATACAGATTAGCTATTTCTCTCAAAGGTCGACTATGCGCCAGTATCTCATTGGCAGCTGCTTCTAATGCTTCTGCATCTGGTTTCACCCTTTTTTTTCCTGTAGCACTTCTTCCCATCTGCAACAATAAGATTAACATTAACACGGTGAAGAAAAATATCTGGTTGTACCTTGGGACAAGTCCCTACGTACAACCATAACAACGTCCCAAGGTACAACCAAGCACATGTTTTACTAAATCTAACCTCATCAATTTAAAGTAAAGTTTTTTCTCATAAAATATAGTTTACAGTGAGCATTAAATATATAAAGACGAAATACGCCGAAAAAATTCAACCAATAGTTCTTACCGTGCTTTTCCTATTATTTTATAAAGATGGATAAAATTTACTTCACGGACACCAAAACGTTTTACACTTGTCGTCACATCAAATGGCTGCTGACGGAAACGCGAATGTTTGATGTAAGTGGAGACAGTGTTGCCATCATATTACAAATTTCTCAGATTTCTCGCTACAACAGTTACATTTTTATAATGATTGTCCCAAGGTAAAACCGTCCCAAGGTACACGCCTTTCCCCTACAATTATTGTATTGCCATCGGTCCTTTGTAAATAATAATATACGAAATTTTAAATAAATTACATGTAAAAGTGGCTATAAATTAACTACATTCAAATATTATGTTGCAATGATACATACCTATGGATAAGTGAAAAAAACCTAACCGCGTAAAAACAACAAACCATAAAATAGGTAGAGCAATTCTGCCTCATTCTTCAAATTGAAAATTCACGTGTACTAAAATAATAATAAAGGAATTATCACTTACCTTTCAAATACAACATTCGACTCCGTTTCATTATTTCTTTTATGCGAGATCCCATCTTGTAATCCAAACAGTATCACGAATGTAACAAAATTAAACTGTTAAAAACACGAATGTGACACATTCACTAATTCAGACTTATAACAATGCAATACGGAAAACACCAATGTGGTACATAAGTAACTTGGGTATTGAAGTAAATGAAAAACATTTACCCTCGCGGAACAAACATTGCACCCTGGGAAGAGCATATTATTATATTACCGAATATATTCGTGGATTTGGCATTGACAACTTTGAAAGTTAACAGGTTTGCCAATGTGGATACGCGAAAATACCTAAATATGCACATTCACGCCTTTAACATTTACTGCGACGATATATTAGAGATCAATACTAGTATTATATTTAGTATAAGATTGTATACGACATAATGAATAATGAATAAATGAGTAAAAATTGGGATTGGCGAGTGGATTCAGTGTCCACAGTTTTATAAACCCAAACAAACAAACAACTATTGTATTTACAAAACAGCACCAGTCCATATCTATAAGAACAAGCTGCTCTTAGAATGAAAAGTTTCAAATTAAAAGAGAATGCCAAATAAAAATTGCATCTCATAATGGAGTGAAATAGAGATTATTTAGTACAGTGATTCCCAACCGGGGGGCGTTTTGAGATATTCAGGGGGGCGACAGAGGAAAGATGGCGATAAGGGGGGCGTTTAGCATCCGGAAAACGAGAAATGGGTAATTCAGAAAAATAAGAAAAGAGAAAAAAATACAATACTTTCGATCGAATATGCATAGGATAATAAAAAGTAAATATATGTATATACCAATGCAGGTAATAATAACAAAAACATCTCGTCTAATCACAGAGAGCTATGAACCATAATACAATTTAATTCTATACATTATCGTTATAATTATACATTATAAAGAATTCTGCATTTTCCTTTAATCGAGATTTCATATTGTGCGATAATCCGCACAAAAGAGAAAGAGAGAGAAGTGGGATAAGAATGATGAGAAGTAGATAATATTGCCGAATTCTACCAAAACTGTACTGACGGCTCAGAAATTATGAAATGCGAGGTAGAACACGCTATAAATAATGCTAAAATTAGAAAAGCTTGTGGTCCAGATGATACACCAACTGAGTTGCTGAAACTAATAGAGAATGATAACATAAAAGTAGTAGTAAGACTTTTTAATTCAATATATAACACTGGAGTGATTCCCGCAGATTGGCTCAAATCCATCTTTGTGGCAATACCTAAAAAATACAATGCGAGAAAATGCTCAGAATATCGATTAATTGGCCTAATGAGCCACTCTTAAAATTTTCCTCAGAATACTTCACAACAGAATTAGACGCAAATGCGAAGAAGATCTTGAAGATACCCAATTTGGTTTTAGATATACTATGGGAACCAGGGAGGCACTTTTTGCGCTTAACATCCTATTACAAAAATGCCGTTACCAATGAAAAGATGTATTTGCATGTTTCGTGGACTTTGAAAGGGCATTCGATAAAGTACAGCATGTAAAATTAATGCAAATACTGAAAAATATCGGAATAGTTTACAAGGATATTCGTGTCATTAAAAATTTGTACTGAAATCAAACTGCTTTCGTAAACATTGGAGGTAACTACACCGATGAAATCCCCATACAACGAGGAGTATAACTACTTAATGTGATTAGATATGCAGACGATACAGTAATTCTATCAGATAATATTGAAGGTCTTCAAATTCTGCTTGATCGTATTCACGAGGTAGGAGAGGAAATGGGCATTAAAATAAACTCAAACAAAACCAAATTGTTTGATGCAAAGCTTTAATTGAACGGAGTCCAAGTTGAGAAAGATCACAAAATGACATATTTGGGAACTGTGATAACGGACCAACTAGATCCAGACATAGAAATAAAACAGAATAGCAATGACTAAAACTACTTTTATGAAAATGAAGTAATTTCTTTGCAATAACCATCTCAGTTTAGAACTAAGGCAAAGAATGGTTAAGTGATATGTTTGGTCCGTAGTTTTGTATAGTGCAAAAGTGTGGACGCTAAAAGCATCGATCATGAACAAAATTGAAGCACCGGAAATGTGGGTTCATAGACGAATGCTGAAGATACCTTGGACAGAAAGAAAAACTAATGAAGAAGTACTAAGGAGGGTCAACAAAGATATAGAACTGCTAAAGACTGTTAAACATCGAAAAATGTCTTATCTGGGACATATAGTAAGGGGAAGTCGATATAAAATATTACAACTGATCCTTAAAGGCAAAATAGAGGGCCGTAGAGGTGTAGGAAGAAAACAAGTTTCTTGGTTAAAAAACATTAGTGAATGGACTCAAATACCAAATGCAGGACAATTATTCCATATTGCAGAAGATCGAGAAGCCTTCGCAATGGTGATCGCCAACGTCGGATAATTCTGATATGTGATATCCACAAGAAGAAGAATCCAATCTTGTGGAATGCAATCAAATTATTATTATTAGCATTCCCCACAACATATCTAGCGGAGAAAGGTTTTAGTTCTGTATGTATATTGAAAAACAGACAAAGAAATACGCTCGACATAATAGAAAGAGGGGATTTGAGGTTGTTATTAACCAACATTGAGCCAGCCATAAAGAAATTATGTGAGGGACACCAGGCCCAAGGAAGCCAATATAATTCTTTTACACACATTTAAATATTTATCATTTTACGAAATGTAAAAATAAATAAATATGGATAATTACTTTTTGTATAGATTTATTATTTTTTTCAATTTAATTGGGGGGGGGGGGGTGGATTGTAGTATTTAAACTTGTGAAACCTGTCTAAGGGAGCGATCATGGAAAAAAGGTTGGGAACCACTGATTTAGTATAAAAGTTACTTACATGTGGAGTAATACAATTCGGACAAAGCAACTCAGTTTTACAAAAAATTGGTAATGAAAATCAAAAATTCAAATAGTGTAATCGTATTTGAAAGTTTACAGTAATTTATTTAATGCATGTATACCTATAAAAAATCGATAATAAAGCGAAATATATCCATAATTTCATTGAGAAAAAATGGATGGAAAAAGCAAAAATTTTCGATTTTTTTCAGATCTTGTTAAATCAAAAATCAAGCATAAGGTTTGCAACTGGCGCATATCGTGATTATTGATACAAGGTACATCCTGAAATGATTCTAGCAAAAAAATAGACTCTTATGGAAAATGTCCAATTTAAAACAAATCTCGCATGGACTAAGATAAAATTAAACCATTAGAAGATTTTTCCATTTTCAAGTAACAAACCAATTTTCGAAGTGAAAATTAAAACGCCAAATAAAACATGTTTAATTCAAATTGTGGTTAATTCCCATTAAATACACTAGGTAATATAAAAAATGCCACAAAAAATAGTTTCAGAACCAATGTTTACTCTGGCGCTACAATATTATTTTCTTTTTCAGTTTCTTACATTCTAATCATTTGAACAGCAATTCCATATTGAATATTTCCGATACTTAATTTGATCATTTCACTTAAAATTTAATACATCGTGGACTATAGTATTGGATGAGGACATTTTGTGTTGGTTTTTCTACTATTCAATTTATTTCTTGTAGACTTGCTGCTTTTTATTTTTGGTCAGTAATGTCCTTACAGTAAAGAACAAATTCTGATAATTTGATTTTTTTTTATTTTAGATGCTTCCCAGCAGGAAACTACAATGGAAATTATGGAAATATTACCGAAATGTATACCTAAGGAAGAACTTCAAAAAATTTCACAAAGTACTCTAAAAGCAGACATTGCATTAATGAAAACTGAACAACAGTACATATGTGATATTTGCCTTAAGAGTTTTAGTAATACACGTTATCTCAAAGTACATTTGAAAAGTCACTCTGTAGAGAGACCTTACAAATGTGAAATTTGTTTTAAACGATTTTCTCAAAAAACTCCTTTAAAAAAACATATGAAGAAAGTTCACGCTGAGGAAAGGCCATACAAATGTGAAATTTGCCACAAAGGATTTAGTCAAATATATAATTTGAACAAACATACGAAAGTACACACTGGAGAAAAACCGTATGAATGTAAAATTTGTTTTAAGCAATTTGCTGACAAAACACATTTAGAGAGACATATGAGAATTCACACTGGAGTAAAACCTTATAAATGTAAATCTTGTTTCAAGCAGTTTTCTGATAAAAGTTGTTTAATAAACCATACAATGATTCACACTAACGAAAGACCTTACAAATGTGAAGTTTGTGATAAGCAGTTCATTGTAAAAACTAATTTTAATAGTCATATGAATGTTCACACTGGAGAGAGACCTTATAAATGTGAAACTTGTTTTAAGCGTTTTTCTCATAGAACTTCTTTAAAAAGGCATAAGAGACTTCACACTGGAGAAAGACCATACAAATGTGAAATTTGCTTTAAGCAGTTTTCTGACAATAGTGGTTTAAGGGCACATATAAGAATTCACACTAATGAAAGACCTTACAAATGTGAAGTTTGTGATAAAAAATTTATTCATAAAGCTAATTTAAATTCTCATATGAAAGTTCACACTGGAGAAAGAGCTTATAAATGTGAAATTTGTTTTAAGCGATTGGCTCAAAAACATTCTTTAAAAAGGCATATGAAAATTCACACTGGGGAGTGTCCTTATAAATGTGAAATTTGCTTTAAGCAGTTTACTGACAAAAGTGTTTTAAGGGCACATATAAGAATTCACACTAATGAAAGACCTTACAAATGTGAAGTTTGTGATAAAAACTTTATTCGTAATACTTATTTAAAATCTCATATGAAAGTTCACACTGGAGAAAGAGCTTATAAATGTGAAATTTGTTTTAATCGATTTGCTGAAAAAAAGTCTTTAAAAAGGCATATGAAAATTCACACTGGAGAATGTTCTTATAAATGTAAAATTTGTGGTAAGCAGTTTTCTAAAAACACTTTAAATAAACATATGAAAATTCACACTGAAGAAACACCCTAAAATTTCTTTGAAGCAGTTAACTTCAAACTGGAAAAAGTCCTTACAAATGTTAGATGTGAGTTTCCATAAAAAATTCTTTAGAAAAGCATAGAATTCACACCGGAGAAAAACCACATAAATGTGAAATTAGTTTTAAGCAATTTTCTGAAAAAAAAAAACTATTTAAAAAGACTGGAGAAAACCCTAAATGCCAAATTTGTGCTAAGCAGTTTTCTAAAAAAAAATGACATGAAAAATCACATTAAAGGAACGCCGAAGGTAAAATTAGGTTTAAGCAATGTGGTCAAAAATGCATGAATTTTCACACTCGCGCAGTATGTTATAACTGAAATTTGTGGAAATCAGTTTAATCTAAGTAGTACTTTAAATGATCATATGACATGTCACACTGGAGAAAAACTGTAACACTTTCGCTGATGTCATTAAAATTATTGCCTTCATATCCATAGGTATGTATACTGTTTCTAAACACTATCTAGGAGAGACACTGAAATGAGGTAACATATTATCCAAAAACAATTATTAGTAAACCCACATACCCTAGGGCTGCATATTTAAGAGATCCAAAACAGTAATCAGTAAATTAAAACCACATACGCTTTGGCTTTGGGCGTTTCATTTAAGGACGTTGAAGCTGTTCGCTACGATGGAGATTCGAAAAAAATAAATTTTTCTTATACATTGATTGCCATAATCACTGTCTTAACCAGTGCAAATCACAAGGAGAATACCATAATATTTCATTTCTTTTTTTTTTGAGTTATACAGTTAATATATAGTTTCATTAAAGGTGGCCCGAAAAGGCATGCGTCGGAGATTGCCTTTACCTGGAACAATTTGTGGATGAATGGCGTAGTGGTGTTGGGGCTACAAAAAAGAACAAATAAGAGACTATGAAGTAGACAATTAATGTCATGTTGTTGATATTGCAAATTTGTCAATACATATAATTTTTAAGTAACTGTAATTCTGTATAATATGAAATAAAATCGAATCCAACATACGCAAACCTCTTAAAACGGGTAGTTTTTTGGTGGTGCGACAGCATGGTAGTTTGGAGGAAATCGTTAAATTAACTAACAACAAACTGAAAATCCTAAAATCACTGAGGCAGTCTCCGTTATACATGAACAGCTTGAAGCTGTAGTAGAATCGATTGAAAAATGTATTGAACATGCATCTAATCCAAAATCAAGAGCGAAAGAAAAAGGCATTTTATTTTAAATGAAGTCTTTTGATTTTATTCAGATATGCATCCTATTTTAAAAATCGTCATAATGATGAGTAAAACGCTGCTGTCACATAAAATCGATATGTGTCAGGCTGTAAATGAAGTTCAACGTTTAGCTCCGGCTATGAAAACTTAAGAATAGAGAAAAGTGTTAATAATATATATTCTAGCTAAAGCAAAAGACAAGCGATTGTTTTGATATAGAAATCCTGAAACCAAGAAAACGTAAAGTTCCTCGAAGTTGGTACGATAATCCTGATATGATATTTTTGTGATTTAGGAGAAAAAAATAAGAAACACAATTATTTGTTTTATATCTAGGAAGAGACAAAATAATTTAATATTTAAACGATTGAATATTGTAACGTAACTTGTCTGGATGGGAAGTAGGGGATGGAAGGAGAAGAAGAAAATCCAGGTGCAAGTTATTTCATCTTGCAAAGTGCGCTTTGCGCACTGGTTTATTGGACCCGAGGTTTAAATCAAAGGTTTTTACTTTACAAACAAATCTTACAGTCGAAAGGGAACGTTTATAAAGTGAAGTAGCCAAGTTAATCAGTATATATCAAGCTGCAAAATTGGCCCATAATGATATTGACATGGAAGAATCCCATTCACAGGTCAAACAAGAGGAAAACTTGATATGGGAAGATTTTGACAAATTTGTTCAAACACCCAAACAGGCGAATTCAAAAGTCAACGCTATTTTAGAAGTCAAATCATATTTAAGCGAAACCTTAATATTCAGAAAAGAGAATTCTCTCGACTGGTGGAAATCTAGAGTTTCATTATACCTTTATGAGCTCTGAGAATTCGCTAAGAAATATTTATGTATAATGTCTACGTCGATTCCATCAGAACGAGTGTTTTCTAAATCGTGGATATTAATATCTGAACGAAGGAATCGGTTGAAAGGCAAAAAAGTGATTATGTTTTTACGTTGCAATCAACAGATATAGTAGTTTTAAATATCTTGTAAAGTACAGAATGTATTTGTATTGTTTTTTTACAGTTTTGTATTTATTGTTTGAGTTGACATATTTCTTTATTAAATGTTTTACATTGAGCTGACATTTATTTAGATTTAAATAAAAGATTTATTATATCCAAATAATCCAATTTCAAAAATGTGCCACATAAATATGAAGTTCTAAATAGCTCCCATTAAATATAATTACCCGAAGTAATCAAAGTAACGAATACTTTATATGATTACTCGATACAAAAGTAACGATTTGTAATGAGTACTCATAGCACAGGCTGTGGGGGAAAAAGTACTCTCTAATCCAGGAATTTATGTAATGTGGCCTAGGTTGTAAAGGGCAACCTCAGGAGTTATCCCCCAGTTCATTCAACAAAAATTTTTGGTTATTGCTTATTTATCAGCGTTTATAGGTGCAAAATAAGTATTTTTTCAGTTTTTTCATTTTTTGTCTAAAGTAAGTGTTTAATGAGTAATTTCTATATAGATTATGAAAGTACTCTAAAAGACCTTCAATTTGAGCCGGTATACGTTCAATTTAATTTATTTGTTATTGCAAAAATGACGAATGAAGGTCAAAATTAAAAAACGTAATATTTATTGCAAAATTGCTTTTTTATTTATTGTATATATATTTTTATTATTTATTATTAATCGAATGAGTCGTAGTAGGCCTAGATCACTTAATTTGTTGCTGAGATACGTTAATTAGTTTATCCCACGACCTTCAACTTTGAATGCTCATAGGATTGCCAAAAAAATTGGTAGAGAGCTAATTCTTCTTTCATTTTCTTCCTACATAATACATATAGGTTGATTTTGGCTAGATTAAGAAAAGTAATCAACAAATTTAGTCTTTGAGGATTAAGGTTGGACAGGAGAGAGCAAATCTTATAGCAGTTTGTAGTTTTGTTTTAACCACTTCCTTGTAGAGGCCAAAATTTGTGGAAACGTTTATTGGATACTCTAGGTTAATATGATGAGATCCAATTTGACCACATTCACAGTATGGGTTGTCCCGAATATCCGAATAATCTCATATAAAGATAGGGAATACAGATTAAATAACATTGGACTTAGAGGGTAGACCTGAGGTAAGCCCTGATTAGTTTGGACCATAAATTTGACTAGTTTTGTCCTTTACATAAATACTACGATCATTAAATATATAATAAATGGCATTTGCTAATCGAATAGGAATGTTATATTTAATTAGTTTCAAGTATAAAAGAGAGATTTTGACACTATCATAAGCTGCTGAAATATTTAGGGAAAGTTCCACGGTAAATTGATTCAATGAAAATCCTTGTAGTATTTTAGAATTTAGTAATGAAATGCATTCCATGCAACCTCTACCCCTTCTAAATCCAAGTTGCGATGGATTTAAAATATGATTATGTTCTAAGAACGACTTTATTCTGTTTTTAATTAATGTTTCCACCATTTTACCAACGCACGATGAAAGAGCAATTGGCCTATAATTAAGTGGGTCAGTTTTATACTTTTCATGTTTAACAATAGGTAATATGACAATTTGTTTCCACGAAATAGGAACTTGTCCCTTCCGGATACATTCATTAAAGAATTGAATTAAGAGTAATAATCCAGAGTGCTGTAAATTTTTTAACATGGAGTATTTTTAACCTGATCAGGATCCACAGCAGAATCAGTTTTAGAAAAAAAAGTATTGTGATATTCATCAAATGATATGGGATTCTCAGAATACTGCAGAGGACTGAAAAGTGATTCAAAATCTCCAGAAATAGGCCAGAGAGATGTTAAAATTTCCTGGGCTACCTCCTCAAATGGCAATTGAGATAAAAGAGACAATTTACTACCAGAAACCTTGTTAATTTTATTCCAAATATCTTTAAGGGAAGTATTTATATTTAGTATGCTACAAAAGGATCTAAAGCTTATTTTCTGCTTTAATTTTAGAAATTTTTTAGCTTTCGCTATGAACCTCTATATATATAGCCTCTATATAGTTTTCAACATTAGGAGAATTTTTAAATGTATTAGTAGCTGAAACTCTCTTTTGTATTATATGAACACATGAATCATCCCACCATGGAATGTTATATTTATTGTTATGAGAGGAGGTCCAAGGAATGGATGTGTCTGCCACTGATGATATATATTTGATAAAATTTTCGTAGTCCTCTATTGGAAACGAATAAGAAAATAGACTCTAGTTTTTCATGAAAAAAAAAATCAATCAGCCTTTTTGAAATATATTCTTTTGAGAAACCTGATTAGATTCCTGTGTGTGGATACCGACATGGCATAGAATGGGTAAATGATCACTAGATCCTGTATCTGGAATGATAGTCCATCCACTAATTTTAGGTGCCACATCAATTGAAGCCAATGATAAGTCAACTACTGATTTGCTGCCACCAGGACAAACCAATCTTGTTGGAGAACCATCATTAAGAAAAATTAACTGAAGATCTTCTGCAGTCTGCAAAATATGTCTGCCATTAACACTATCCCTTGAGCTATGTTATATATGCTTCAAATATATAGAATATAATCGCTTTTAAAAAGTAAATTTTCATTATATTAAGAATTATAAGATATTAAGAATATATACATATATATATATATATATATATATATATATATATATATATATAATTTTTTGTAGAGGCTAAAATTTGGGAAAACGTTTATTGGACACTCTAGGTTAATATGATGAGATCCAATTTGACCACATTCACAGTATGGGTTGTCCCGAATACCTATGCGGAATAAATTAACTGGGGTGGGACAATGTCCTGTTCTCATCCTAATTACTGTGGTGATACTCTTTCTATCTGTATAAGGAAATTGATTGAACCATGGTGATTTGTTCCATTTATTGACTATTTTACTCATTTTTGATCTATTTGAGTTCCATTCTTGTTCCCATCGAGACAAGATTAGCTTTTTAATATAAAATAAGTATACCCTGAATTCAATAGGATTGTCATTTAGGATAGACATTTTGTAGTTCGTTAACACTCGGTGGTGAGCGGCTATATATTTATTTCTTTATTAGCACACACATCCACTTCTCAATTATCATTTTTACCGGTTACATCTGTTGAAAGTCCGAACTACTCGCCTTGTTGCGAAATTTATTATTTAGTACCGCTAGCAGCTTACCCGTGCCATTGAGGTATACCTTGGGTGCCAATAGAGAGACAGGCGGACACCGTTATTTCTTTTCGAAAGTAATATTTCTAATTAAATCCGGCAACATTGTGACAACTCACCCACAAACAACCATTAAAATCAGGTGGTTGGTAGTATTTCATGAGCGTACTGTCGGGTAACATCATGGCATCAAAACCAACGTGCAGTACATCTGTTAATAAACAAAATAAAAAAAGGTGGTTATCTGTGAGAGAAAAGGAAATGATAAAATTGGTTTATGAGGGATTGCGTAGAAGATATCAAGATATGCTTATGGAGGACGTCGCAGCATTGTGTGGAGATTTAACAAAAGTATCGGCTCGTACGGTTTTCCGAATAATTCAAGGTAACAAACCTATTGAAAAACCAATCCATAAAGGACGTGCAAAAATTGTATTGGACGATAGTACGAAAAGTATAATCCGAAGAAAAGTCCATGGATTTTATTTTAGGAACGAACTGTCCACGTTAAAGGCTATTCAACGAGAAGTTAATGCAGACGTAGATGATAATTTAAATAATATATCTATGAGAGTATTACAAAGAACTTTACACGAAATGGACTTTCGGTATGTGAAGAGAAATCGGAAAAGTTTGTTGATCGAGAGAGACGAATTAGTGATAAGGCGAAGAAAATATTTGCAAAAAATTCGTGATTTTAGACGACATGGTAAAAAAAATTATACGGACGAAACGTGGTTGAATGAGGGTCATACGAAATCCAAAGTATGGCAAGACTTGAATATTAAAAGTGCGAGACAAACTTTCATTGAGGGACTTTCAACCGGCTTAAAAGCACCTTCGGGCAAAGGAAGACGTCTCATTATAACGCACATTGGAAGTGATTCAGGTTTTTTACAAGGTGGTTTAAATGTGTTTACCTCAATCAAAACGGGCGATTATCATGAGGATATGAATTCGGATGTGTTTGAAAAGTGGTTTTCGTCTATACTGACTCTTGTAGATCCTGGTTCGGTAATTATAATGGACAATGCACCTTATCACAGTCGTCGTATGGAAAAAATACCGACTTCTGCATCTCGAAAGGCAGATATAATAGATTGGTTAAGAAGTAAAAATATAGATTTTGATGAATCCATGATAAAGGTTCAATTACTTGATATAGTGCGCGAACATAAGAGTTCATACATCAGATATGCAGTAGACGAAATGGCATCACCGTATTAAGAACTCCACCATATCATTGTGAATTGAATTCCATCGAACTGATATGGGCACAAATAAAAAATGAGGTAGCGCAAAAGAATACAACCTTTAAATTAAAAGATGTCAAATTATTATTAGAGCAAGCCATACAAAATATAACCGCTTCCAACTGGCAGGCATGCATTAAACATACACAGAAAGAAGAAGATAAACTGTGGGACGTAGACACGCGTGTTGATGTTCTTATCGAGCCCATTATCATTACTTCAGGAGAAGACAGTAGTGATAGTGAATTAACAACAGGAAGTGATTCAGAATAAAAATATTTCTTTAAAATAATAACTAATAGGTACAGTTCTAGTGATTTTTTGTTGCTATATTCGGAGACTACTTGTGAGATCCTTCGTTCTACCTGGTTATAATTTTCTAAGTGGGCATGTACCTAATAACTTTATTATTATGGAAAGTTTGTTTTTCACAATTGCAGTTTACGTTAGGTTGCTGGGTCTAGAATTATTATTTTCTGTAAAGCAGCAAAATCGATAACAAAACGACTAAGTTATTTCGAAACTATTACCTATTTACAAATTCATTCACATTTACTTAAAACTCTCATTTAATTGGAAATTCCCAGGTATTATATTTGTGTTCTTGGAAATTGCTTAATTTGAATGCTACGTCGTGTTTAGTTTAGTTTAGTTAATCTGACAATTCATCTACAGTTTGATGTCTTAAT